GATTGATTTGCAGAGTTTTTCTCAAAAAGAGCACAGCCTAACTGAGCAACGACTACAGAGCAGAAGACAAACATGGCATCGCTGTGGCACACAATATCTGAAGGAGTTAAATATCATGGGAGGTAGGAAAGTGAGGATAAAAGGGCTACCTCCAAGAAACAGGATGAATTAGAGGTAAATTTTAGGAGATACTAAGAATACCATATACAACAATCTCTGCCACACAGCCTCCCAAGAGAGCAGATAATTTAACATTTAAATTTGGATCGGAGGGAAGACAACTAAAGCACAATCAGGAGCGCTGCATCTTCACCTCACGAGAGGGCAAGCGTGTGACCTCAGATTCCCAACACTCGGTTAAACTCTTCCAAACGTACAGGCCAACCACAGGTTTCAGGGGCGCGGAATGGGTTTCTAACTCCTCCTGCTCATCGCTCGGCTGCACCCCCAGCACGGACCAGGGAACGTTCAGTCGGAAGCGGCCACCGCGAACACAACGTACACGATGCCTGCAGGATCCTGCACCTTTCTGAACACTGCTCTGCGCAGGGAAGTGCTGCTACGGCCTCTGGTAGTGCCGGTCACAGGTCATTTTAACTTTATTGAGGTGTTTCGGCAGGAGCCAAGGGAGTGCAAGCAAACAACTTGCAATCGGGTTATAACCCCAGCTCTGCTCCCGACAACACACAACTTTAGCAAACAGTTGATAAACACTCCACTTCCTTCTTCCTATTCCATCCACAACGAGGGCACTAGAGGCACGGGAGGAATGAGATGTTGGCCTCTGCGCAGGGTTAGCATAAATATGCAGAGTGCCATTACTATTAAAGCCCTGGCAGAATTTCCCTAGGTCCTGTAAAACAGGATTTTTTCTCCAAAGCATTTTGGGAGATCTGTATCAGCTATGAAAAGCAATCAAGATGCTTATTTGTGGGACTCCACACGACATCTGATGTTCCGGTTACACACACTAAACCAGCAGCCTCCTGCATGGCATTTATTACAGACAGTCTGCATTTCACCTCCGGTTACTAACTAAATTCTTCATAGGGCCATTCAGGTTAAAAAAAGCACCGCATGCCCCCTTTGCCCCCATGACCACTTCCTTCAGATTCCTAGGGATCGCAATGGAGAAAGACACCTCGGACACTCCTCTCGGAGAGATTTTGTTTATGTTACTGTAAAAAGTACTGTTAAAAGGACAGCTTTGCCATTAACTACAATAAAACCACCAGGGCTACGCAGGCAAACAGCGCTGACAAAAGAAGAGCACTTCCAAGGAAAGCAGCCGCAAGACGAGGCACGGACAGGAAGTAGAAGACAAAGAGGGCGACCCGAAAAGGAAGCCGAGGAGACACTTTCCAGCCCCGACGAGGGTCCGGTGGGACCCGGGCAGCGCGGGCAGGCCGGA